GGTAGCATGGCTACTGCATCCTATAAATACCGCAGCCCCTTGTGCAACAACCACCCGTTTCTGTTTTTTTGTCTCTGATGATGGATTCGAATAGGAATCCGAAACGTCAGGCTAATAAAGCTCTTGTCCCGACGATCGTGTCCCCTTCTTCAATTCTCCCGGTATCTAATGGATTTGCAGTCGGTAATCCAGGTGTCATGCCTACAAAGACACTGAACTGGGCATTTCTAACTTAATTTCTCCTCATCAAGCAGTGATGTCCCAATGTCACTCAAACCTGCGTCAGATGGTAATTGAACAACGCCCCCCCCCCCCCAACCGGTGCACATTGCTGTCGCTGTCTACCATCCCTGTGTGGATGTCTCTCAAGGTTCACACTCCGGAGTTATTAGCTTTTTAAAACCACACTAGTGGATTGTTTTCTTACTCTCGACTTCTGCTGCAACAGTAGTATGCTCTCTTGCTGTATTTACATACAGTGCGTGACCGATCTCATGAAATGTTGGCCGAAATTCTGAAATGTGTTTTCGATTAGGAAGGACTACTTAGGTGGGGTTGTAATATTAATTGGCATGCAGCATAATCCTATAACATTTCGGACTCGCCAGGATGTCGGCTTTTGGATGCACTCCTTCCTGACCATCTGCGGAGACCGCGATCTGCAAAAGATGACTATTTAATTAGCGTGCATTTTCCGTATTGATTTTCGATGGTCTTACAAATTCATTTTATAGAAAACGTGCGCAAAAATATGCCTTCTTTTACTCGTTCTGTAGAAAATTACACTGTCTTCATGTTTTATACCTGAAGAAATTATATATTTAGGCTTTAAAAAGTTTCTAATTATGAGATTTTCCAGACCGTGCGATGCCTGTACATACAACATCGTACATGTCCGTTTACCAGGGTTTCTTATGAAATGTACAACACAGTCCAGATCCATTGCAACATTTTATGAACTCTATATGGTATCTTCTTAAAGGCATAGAGGAATATATAATTCTCCTTACGCGGAAAGCATGGACCTTGTAAACTGAAATCGCTAAACGCAAATGCAATGGCAGATCTGGCTGAAAATTATTCGGGGATTGGAAAACTTTTTTAAAACCTAAATACACACTTTCTTCAGGTATAAAATATGAAGACAGTGTAATTTTCTACAGAACGAGTAAAAGAAAGCATATTTTTGTGCACGTTTTCTATAAAATATATCTGAATTTGTAAGACCATCGAAAATCAATACGAAAAATGCACGCTACCTACGTAGTCATTTTTTTTCCGAGTGTGGTTTCTACAGGAGGTCAAAAAACAGTGCATCCAAAAGCCGACATTCTGCTGAGTCCGAAATGCTATAGGACGATGCCGCATACTAATCAATATTACAACTCCGCCTAAGTAATCCTTCCTAATCGAAAACACATTTCAGAATTTCGGCCAACATTTCATGAGATCGGTCACGCACTGTACTTCCTATCCGCGGCGGTCATTCTCGCCGCTCGTCTTTCACTTCCTTTTCTTGTGTTTCTCCTAAACCAGTTTTTTGCATTGGTTTTCTAGCAAATCGAGTCGCTCAGCCGGTGTTGGCAAGTCAGCAGATGTGACCAAAGCTGATTCACAAAGGTGTCCTAATTGGCCCCAATGCCATGACCCCCAGTGTTTACACGCCCATCCGACCGGGAAGTGTACAGAATCGCCCCGTCCCAAAGGTGCCACCCGTCCACTTTTGCATCCGGAAGACGAAGAGGAGCTAGAGGAATTCGAGACATTGGATCAGTTTTTCGAACGTATGATGGCACCAGAGGGGTGACAGCATCTGGATGAATTTAATTTTCTAAGTTTCCATAGTTTTTAACTTGACTACCCCATAACTCCCTAACTTTCTAGGTTTAATTCGCCTCGGTCCGTTCGACACTGTTAAGACTATTTTATATTGAAATCCAATATGTTCTTAACCTTATTCTTCTCTGCTGGAGGGTGTGTCGTTGCCTTGAGTCATGTT